AAAAATGTTTTAAATGACTAATATCGGCAACACGAGAAAAAACAGACCAAATTTACCCCAAGTAGCAGGATGACCTGGCTTTCCTGTTTAAGCAACATGGAACACCAGTCATCAACTTTCAAATGTTATTCTACTTATGTCACGGTGTTCCAGTCTGTTCTGTGCCTGCTTGGCTCAGCAACACTCCCAGAAGTGGACAAGAACCATTGCTGTGTTCATTGACCACTTACTAGAGCCAGAGGGCACAAGCAGGAGTTGGAGGATTGTTAAAGGGAAAACAAGAGTAATATGGGAGGATAGGACTCTGATGTCTGCAACCCATCTGCTGGATGCTTTGGTGGACTCAGGGTGGCTCAGTAAGATAGAAAGCAAATTGCCTCAAGGAGTTAGAGCAAAGGGGGATGTCTTCCAGCTGAGAGAATTTCAAAGGTTTTATGGAAGAGCTGAGCATTGCAAGGGTGATAGGACTTAGAGAAGAGGGCTAAAAAGGTAAAGAACTGTAGGTAGAGAAAACGTATTGCTGAGGTCCTGAAATTGGCACATAGATCCTTAAACTTTATTAAAATACTTTGCTAAGATTATCTACGAAATTATTCTAATGTATTCTCTGAAGGAAATAGAAAGAAGTAGTCTCAAAGAATAGGGTCTAAAGGATGTGAAGTCAACTTTTCTGCAGACAAACATTTATTAGACATAAAATGCTTGCCAGTTATTGTGCTAGGTACTGGGGATGCAAAGAGATGAGTAATTTTGAAAAAATTTATAACAAGGTTTAGCAATCAGAACCTTGCTTCAATTTATGGTAAAATGTTTGATCTACAGACCTATGTCATGATATATTTTCTTCTAGGCATTCAAATAATTCTGCAAAGAATTCCATTCTATGTTATTTTCAGGAAAAATCCAGAATAAGACAACATAAAATAGATTTACATGTGAATATAGATCATAAACAGTATATAACTTCATTTAATAAGACAGATTTAATTGCATCATGGGATAGACACAGAAGGCCATTCATTCTGAAAGAATCGGGTTGCCTGGCTACGCCATACCTCTAGCACTAAAGCTGCATCCCTCAGCCCCACGACTTCAGCATGTGCTTCCTTCGCTTGTCCTTGTTGCCAGGCCATTCACAGAAGTTTCTCCCTGAGTACCTTCTTTGTCCCTCCTTCTACCTCCAAGATCCCACTTTATCATCATTCACCTCCCCTGCATTATACCTTCGCTGCTCCAACTGAGTGATCTAGCATGTACACACCTTTTAGCTCAACCAAAAGCAACTATGGCAACACAATTTTTAGGCCATGTGTGCAGCTGAGATGCAAGTATTATCTCAGAAAAGAAATGTTAGAAGCCAGTGAAAATTACAGGTCACTGTAAATAGAAAATATAGGTATTTCAATGTGATTATCACATTCTTTTGTAAGTATATTTCCATAGTTATTTTTCTGATTACTCAGAATTCTAATATAGATGATGAACTGATCTTAAGAACATGTTTCAAACATGTCATAACGATATGCCAAGAACATACAGGTATTCACACACACAAAGGAAAAAGAAGATATGGGTGTCTATCAAAAGGGAAAATTTTTAAAAGGCGATGGCAATTATACAAATATGAACATAGTGCTGACATGTTGCACAAGGAAAATTATAGAGTAGTAGAACCAATGGAAGCAGAATGTTCCAAAAGATAGTAATGTTTTGTTTTGTTTTTTTTTTTTTCCTGCTTAAATGTTATAAGCTACTAGCTTGTATGTATTTTTTTTCTCTCATGGCAGATATCAAAATCATTTCAAGTTTCACTGCCCATATGCAATCCAATAGATCACATGAAACAATAAAAAGCGAAAAAATCCAGGTCATTTCTAAATTGACAGAAATAATAGAAGACTGAGCTTTAAAAATCATTTAAAGCTCAGAATTTTACAAAGCAAAAAGTTGATAATACAATTGACTTTTCCTAAGATATTTAGCAAACTTTCAATAATATAGTTTAGGGGAAAACCCAAGAAAATATCTTGGAAATGCCTGAGAAAGGGGAGAATAATGCATTAAAATGCACTGCATTTATATTATCCTATTTCTGTTTAAATTATAGTTTTTCATAATTAATAAAGATAACATTTACACAAACAAATCAGGTTAAAAAGTAGGGTAACTGGTTTCAAAGCTAAACTAGAAATGTTTTTTGAAATGTGTAGTAGGTTATAGCAATATTTCATTTCTGAGTTTCTGAAAAATGTATTTTATAAACTCAAATAACCAATATAAATCAGAAATGAATTAGACTTAGGTGTACATCATGCAATTATTATTTTTAAATAAATTACTCATTTCCTTAACAAGGTTAAAAATTATAGACCAGAATTTAAAATTTTGTTTAAGTGAAAACAAAACTGTACAGATATTTGATATATAAATGCTCACACATGAAACACATTCCTTATGTGACACTAACAAGTCTTTCAGTGTAAGTTACACCACCATATTTGGAAATAAGTCCATGAATTCTAATTTTTAAATACCTGTAAGATGATTTGCAACTTTAGAATATCTGATATGTGGTGTGAAAATACTGGTTGGAGTCATTATTCTAGAGTCCTATATATTCATTCTCAGAAGACTCCTAAACAAAGAAGTTGGAATTTGGTTCACAGTTCATAAACTCTGAACAAATTCTGTTATGATAACCTGTTACCCACAGCAGAAGTTATCCATAAACAAAAATAATCTGGTATTTACTAATTTTTTACAATCAATTGTAAAACTTTCTTGGGTCTGAAGCTTTAACCAACTGGGATTTAATGTGAACCATAACCAGGAAGAGTGAACAATAATAAATTAACATAAAAGATGGCAATAACAGGAAAAAAGGACAGAGAGTTAATACTCAGTATTAACATATATAATTAAAGTTTCATTGTTTTTTACATTGCCCAAATCATCTAGTAACCTAAATCATGGAATTTCTGATCTAACAATGGTTGCTGTCAAATTCAGTAATTAAAAATTCAACCCAGTGTGGAAAAGACACTTCTCTGTTAATTTCGAAAATATTTGTAGCTTGCTATTTTTTAAATAAATGATTTATTCAAATAAATTCTAGTCATGATGTGCTGGTTCCTATTTACTGGTAATTATTTCTGGATTATAGAAACATGTTAATTACCAGCAAGTAAATCTTGTTTTAAAAAGCAAATAAGTGTGAACAAGCACCAAAATGGAGGATACCCATTTGTGTCTCTGGCTTAAAGTCTAATTAGTGATTTCTAGTGATCCAATATTTAATGTAAATATAAAATCTAATGATTTTCTTTCTTCAATTTGTAAGGTATGTGAGATTATAGATAGCTTTACAAATGCAAATTTTGTTCAGAAAACTGGATCTAATTTTAGAAGATATGCTCTTAACACAAAATGTATTTTATGAATTATCTTAAGCTTAAAGACATAGAATTATTCACTTTTATTTTTTAGGAAAAAAGTATTATAATGCATTGCAAAATATGTGCTACTGGAAATGCATCAGTTTTTATTTCCCTAGCCTTACCTCACACTGTAATATAGAATCAATTTTATAAAGGCAAAATTTTGATTTACTGTGAGATTAATAACATGGTTTTAAAGTCAAAAGATTTACAGAAGTATTTCCAACTCAGAATTTTGCCAGGTTTTAATTTTTCTACAAAGAACTGAAGTAAATAATTTTGTGAAAATTTTGCTTTTAGATGTTTTAAAGGGTTTCAAGTATTCTACAGATACAGATTTTGGAGAATACTAAATTCTTTCCAAAAAGACAGCTATTTCAAGTTTTCTTTTACTCCCTTGTAGAAAGTTTTAAAGACTTTTTTGGGTCCAAAATCTCATTTTCACCTAAAATAATTGTATTCAAGGGTTTCTCAGCAGGTAAAGTATACATTCTTACAAGGTTTCAAATTTCAGAATTCCAGTAATGCATTTAAACTGAGCACTCCTCTTTGTGTGTATGTATCTACTATCTGCAGTTCTATTATTTGCACTAAATTTTAGTCTTTTTAGCTCCTCTGAAATACGTTAGTGAACCCTCAGCAGTTACTAACCACTTAATAATTGTGAACCCGCCAGCCCCTTCAAGTAGATCACATAAGAGTGCCTGACAATTTCCAAACCATATCCTCTAAAAGGAAAATATAGGGCTTTGTGAGGCCGAAAGGAAGCGAAGGAAAACAAAACAAATGTAGCTCATGCTGAAAGTGAAAAGTGCTTGGACAGATTAGTATTTCTTTTCTATAAGGCATCCTGCCAAACTTTTTCTTTTTTTTTTTAAATAAGAGTTATTTTTTGGTCTGATTTTTCAGTTTCTTGTAAAGTATTGGTATTTATCACCCCCATCGGCCCCTCATAATTGTGGTTGGTTGTTTTCTGTTTTTCCCATCCGTCCACGTCACACAGTGAGGATAACCCCCACTTCACCCTGTCAAAACCCCAACTCTTGGAGACCCTAGGTTTGGAAACTCCGCCGACTCCCGACACGTCCCCACTCTCTCCCACTAACGCGGCTTATTTTAGTCGCGGGATCCCCCTACTCCAGGTTCAGTGAAAGCCGGAAATTTTCATTTAACTCCCCCACCCCCGCCCCAGCCCTTCTAGCCCCCGACGCGGAGACCGGAGCTGGGGAGCCCGGAGCTCTGAGCATTGTGGGGCTCGGCCGCCTCCCCTTTCTCCGGAAGGCTTTAATTTGCACACTAGCTTGCCTCTGCGCCACAAGCCCCCAGTCCCGCCGAGGGGTGGCTCTCCCGCAGAGCTGGCTTCTCGGGTCCCCGCCTCCCCCGCGCGGTCTCCCACGCTGCCTCCCCGGCTGGGGCCCCTAGCGCCGGCCGGAGCCCCGCGGCCCCGTCCGCCCCCAGGAAGCCGCGCGGGCGGCGCCCTCCGCCGTCCCTCCGCCCTCCGCCGCTGTGCCCACCCCCTCGCCGGAGAGAGTGCTGGTAACTCCTTCCCCAGAGTCTGATTACCTGCTCCACCAGGCCGTGGACACGTGCGGAGAGCCGACTGACACTCGCAGCCCCCTCGGGAGGCCCGACGCGACTGGGCCCCTCAGGTGAGGAGCTGTGCGCTCGGGTGGGTGGGCTGCGGGGTGGGGGGTCCTGGGGGAGATCTGAGGGATTGGCCCGGGTCCGAGGCAGAACTGTGGGTGGGGGTAAGAGGAGGTTGGCCGGGGTGGGGTGAGGGGGGAACCCGTGTTTCCCTGGAATCGGCTTTGGTTAACCCCTTACGAACTGTGGTTGGTTATGGGGGCCAGTTTTGGGGAGCTAGAGGAATCTCCTGACGAAATGAGAGATCCCATGCTAGGGGCACCCACAACACCGAGATCCTGCTTCCACGTATCCGTGCGCACACACACCCACGCAGAACACTCCTCATCCAGCTTCTCCAACGGAACTGGAACTCTACTTGAACACTCACATAAATTCACATTTAGGGTTTAAAATGCACTGCCTCTGGGGACTCCATGCTGGAAAATGTGCTTCTATCCCCCATATTTCCCCCACCAAAGCTCCCCCTCCAGCTCGCTGAGGTGTGGGTGTGGGCTCCACGTTCCCCTCCACGAGATAAATGTTAGCGCAGGCTTCCTGCGGGCGTGTTATGCACAGAAGAGTGCACGCAACCGGCCAGTGCCCAGGCTTGGAGCCCCACGAAGACGCACGTTTGCTTTAGTTTCCAAGTTTACTTTTATAATTTAAAATATTGGAGTTAAACACACGCCCCGCAGTGAGCAACCCTGGTACCCAAAGCGCGCCCGACCGTGTGCACAGAGGTGCATCTGCGTGTGCGCACACGCGGGAATCGCGGTCCCCGGTGTGGCCTCTTGTCGCTGTGCTGGTGGCGACCCTTGTGGTGCTTGGCAGGCTTCGGGAGAGGCGCATGAAGGATTTCATTGAGTGTGAAGACAGAGAGCAGAGACAGAAAGCAGAAGGAGGCGGCTGCAGCCTTTGTAGTCGCGGAGGAATGCGGAAATGTTGAAGCACTATGTCAAACTTTTTTGAAATGGGGTCAAGTCACATTCAGCCAGCGTGGGAAAGCAACAACAACAACAAAAAAAAGTGGAGGAGAGGGGGGGAAAAGGCATTGCTGCTCCGGTTTCTCTCCACCGAAGCCGACCTTCTGGGGGGCGAGTGGGGGGAGAGCCGGGGCGGTGCGGGGCCCTGCGGGGGCAGCAGGCACAGTTCCCTGCGGGGGTGGGACGTCCTCTACGCTTCCTTCGCTGCGGAGCCCGGGGCTAGACTCGAGCGGGAGGGGGATGGGGGGACGGAGGAGAGGCTGGTTGGGCGGCCAGCAGCGGCTCCTTGGCTACCTGTGTGGCCCTCGACCTGGCTCAGACCCTGGGCAGTCCCTGGGGGCTCTTTCCTCGGATTTTAAGTTCTGAATGGAGTGAGTGCCAGAATCTCTGCTTTGGCCGAGGTCCGCTCCACCCGCCACTGTGGGGTCGCGCTGTTTTTTTAATTCCTGGCAAAAGGCGAGCGGGCCAGCGGTTGCGGGACAGGTAATTCCGAGGTAACCCAGGAATTCTGGACACGCGGCAGGCGTGGCGAAAGTACTGACGAGGCCGCGGCGGCCGTGGGGGAGGGAGGCCCCCTAGTCCCAGATCGCTGCTGAATGGGGAGGAAAGGTTAGGTACCCTTCTCCGGCGCTTTGTTGTGCACAGGGCTCAGGGGGCATCCGGCTAAAGACTGGACCTGGCCTTTAGCCGGAGGGGGAATGGGGCAGCCACCTCAGCTACCTACAGCCGGGAGGTCCTATGAGTGGGAAAAGGTTCGCGAGTCCGAGCCCCGAAGGCACAGACCTTCTCTCTCATCCCTGGAGGCGCAGGATTTAACCCTCCACCCCCACCCTTTCAAAGGGAGGTTGAGTTTTGCTCAGGTCGAAATCAGCTTAAAACTTCAGGACCAGGCGCGATTATGCTATCCTCTTCCTGAAGTATCTTTTAAGGAGACGACAAGCGAAAGTGTGGCGAACACCCTTTCTCCCACCCTTGGGATCCCGTGGGTGATGGGGTCTCCCCTCCCCCAGGGCCTCTCGCTCGCCCACCCCCGATTAGCCCCAACCCTCCCGGACCAGATGGCTGGTCTTCCCAAGGTTTCCACCAGGGAGGTCCTCCCAGTCGCAGAGAGAATTCCGTTTCCAACCGGGACTCTTTTACCCCAAAAAGACCACTTGGGTGTGCAAGTTGTTTTTAAATGTCTCCTCGTAGAAAAACTGAAAGTAGAAAGAAAGGAAACAATTTCTGAGCAGATGTCTGACCACCGCTTCTCGCACACTCCCAGCATCGGGTTACAGGGTCCTGGGAGCCCCCACCCGCATTCTGCGGCTCAACACGGATGGACCCACAGTCCTTCCGCTCCAGCTGTGCGCGACCCCTGAACGCCCTCCGGCACCCCTGGACCCCCTCTCCCTGCACGTCCAGGCCTCAGGAGGTGGGGAGGGTAGCGGCGCAACACAATGATATAGGGATAAATATTAAGCCGTGACATTGACGTGCCCGGCGCCTCCCCTCCCCCCCGCTCCCGGCACACTCTGGGCTGCTCGGCACGCCCCCTCCCGTTCCACTGCGTCCCGCGCCGCGCGCTCATCCCCGAGGGGCCCCTGAAACCTCTCCGCGCGAAGACGGCTTCAGCCCTGCAGGGAAAGAAAAGTAACTTTGCTTTTCTCGGAGGAACCAGGAAGGATTAAGCGGCTAGGGAGAGAGCAGGAGCGCGCGAAGGGTAGCGATGGAGGCTTCGTGAAGGAGGAGGAGGGGAGTCTGTTGGAACCCCGAGGAAGGCTTCTGGGCTGTCTGATTGCACTTTCTTCTTATCCTCCTGTCTCCTCCTTTAGGTGCAATGATTCTGGACTGAGACGCACTTGGGCAGATGCTATGTAATCGTCTCTGTCTGTGCTGAGGACTTCGCTTCGGTGAGGAAAGAGGAGGGATCGGCTGGCGGCGGCAGCGACTCTGCAGGCGGAGATTCGCCGCCGCGGCACTAGGGTTGTGCCAGCCCCGCAAGGAGGTCGCTCCATCCAGCCTCCACAGCCTCGAGAGCCCCAGAGCCCAAGCGCCTGAGCCGGCAGGGGGCAAAGAAAGCGAGACCGAGCTCCGAGCTCCGGGGAGCCCCGGAGGAGGCGAGCAGCGGCCGCCAGCTAGTTGAGCGCACCCCCCACCCGTCCCAGCGGCGCCGCGCCAGGCGGCGTCCAGGCGGCATGGAGAAGGACGGCCTGAGCCGCGCGGACCAGCAGTACGAATGCGTGGCAGAGATCGGGGAGGGCGCCTATGGGAAGGTGTTCAAGGCCCGAGACTTGAAGAACGGAGGCCGTTTCGTGGCATTGAAGCGCGTGCGGGTGCAGACCGGCGAGGAGGGCATGCCGCTCTCCACCATCCGCGAGGTGGCGGTGCTGAGGCACCTGGAGACCTTCGAGCACCCCAACGTGGTCAGGTGAGCTGGGGAGCTGCGCCCTAGCCGCGGGCGGGGAGGGCCAAACCGGGAATCCTCAGGCCCAGGAAGGTTTGGGGAAGAGGGCGACTGGGGAGGTTCGGCGTAACCCGTTGATCTTGCAGCTTGAGAGTTAAGTTTTGTCGACAGAGCCGCGAGCCAGAGCCGGCGACCTTGCCAGACGGCGAGCAGAAAGACAAGTCAGAAAACGTGACGTGCACAGGCTTCCCCGCAGCTGTACAACTTACAAGTTTTTTCTTCCAGCCCGCCCTGAAGGAGGGTCCGGGGGAGGTGGGTGCGTTTTAGGGACAGAATAAGCCAATCTGAGACATGCCCTGCTATCCCCCACATATTTTTCCTGGCCATGCAGTTGGGGAATTTTTGAAAGAGTGAGTGAGACCGGAGAATGAGGATGCGGTGTGATAATCAGTGAGAATTTTATGGGTGGAGCCTAGTGTCAGTCAGGTTAAGAAGATGCAAAAACATCACAATATTTTTGCCAATCATACTCGCAGTTTCTCTTTATTAAAGTTTCGTAACAAGAATGACTCCTGGTGATCTAAGGAAGTTTGAATGCTGATATCCAAATTCAGACAGCGTCGTAAAAATTTCTTCCAAAATGGTTATCCCTGTATCTCTGGGCGGACTACTCTTTAGACTAATTCTCCAAAGGGTTAAATGTGAGTCCAAGATGTGGTATGGTTAGATCATAAATGTTCTGCCCATGCTTTTCCCAGATGGTTTGTGCTAGTGGGTGGGGAAACAGCAGTTCTTAGTCTCTCCTGTGTGGTAGCCAGTATTAAATGAACATGTGTGACTTAGGATAATGGTGTTTTCTTAGTGATCCTGGAATTTCCCCATTGTGTGGTTGACATTGTTTGGTTGTGTCATCCTTTTCCTTTTTAAACAGAAATGCATTGAAAAGGAATGCCTAGAAACTTCTACAAATTGAATTGTGATTTTACCTTTTTCGACTCGAGATCATGTGTAGCGAAATATCTTTTTTCTTATCCATCTAGGGCTTGTGTTCAACAAATACATGCCTACTGTGTGCACTGAGGATGAAATTATGTAAATAAGCACAGCTAAATATTTTTGTAAAAAGTCAAACAGTTTAACATTAGTCATCAAAGTGGAGAGACCCAAGACTGACCTTTGAAATACCAAACTCTCTACAGACTCAGAGGGACCAAGTGTCTACAGAATCTTCCTGGGAGGTTTTTACTTGTCTCTTCTCATCCCAGGCTGGTGATTTGTGTGGTGCTTTGTTCCCAATGCAGTTAGACTCAAGCTAGAAGGCATCAAAGAATCATAAATACATAAAGAAGGTAGTAAATGGTTATAAAGATAGGACAGCATTATACCTCTGCTTTAGCTAGAAAGGAAAGCAAGGACAAAAGATACTGAGGCTGCTAGAATGAGTGGAAGATGATATTATATATAAAAGCTATAGATGACTTCTTTAGTGTGTATTTTCTTTGTTAAAAACAACAAAATACCTTTTGGAGGCTCTTTGTGATATTGGAGGGAAAAGTGGAGGGTACATTTAGCCCCCTGTAACTCAGTTGTCTTCCCAGAGAAATCACCTAAGTATATTCCAAAAGATGAATTCCACCGCTACAATTTTAAGACAAAAGTTCTTGTTTTATTTTGTCCGTTACCTGTGAGTGTCCAATTAAGAGTGGTTATCGTGTATATGAATAAATAATGTCCTTCCAACGTAGAGGTACTACAGAGGCACCCCTGTATAACACTATTGTTTACAAAGCTCACGCCGTTCTTATAACAGAGGAACACTTTTTGCCATTGTGCTGATAGATTTTGTCTGATCCATCTTTTTCGCTTGATTTATCCTCCTGAGATTGATGTGTTTCTAGATGTTTTAACTGACCCATGACTTGGGTTCTGTACTGTGAATTTCAGGAGGATATACTTATGAACTGAAGACCAAGGCATTGTTTTCTAAAATTAGTTCTACATGTTAAGTGGTGATGATGGCATCTACCTCTTAAAATCATGAGAATAAATTGAGATGGTGTATGTGAAAGCACTTTGTAAATTTAAAAGCACTTCAGATATCTAAGGATTGTTTGTATTTCAGCAGATTTGTGGGTCTCTTACCATAGAGCAACTTTGCAGGAAGGGATTCATTCACCTGACCTTTTTTGTAGAACAAGTCATATTCAAACCAAGACATTACAGGATCTGGAACCAAGAAGGTGCTTTAGGATGATTAGCCTGTAGGATGTCAGAAAACACTATCAATCAGGAGCCATGAAATTCAGTGACACTTCAGGAAATTATTGATGATGTCACCCTCACGAGCTACAGATCTTCGTTCCCTTTTTGTTTCCTTCCTGTTTCTTCTCTTCTGTCTCTGCATTGGAACAACCATTGGTCCCATGACTTGCTTGGCCAGACTAAGAATTCTGGATTTTGGAGGTTGCTAATATTTGCTCAGACAAGGTCAGGAAATAAGGACAGGTGATAGCAATTCTTTTCTTTCCAAGGGAGAGTTGTCAAAGTTGGGTCCCCAAACCTGTGATTTATTATTGCCCCTAGGATTAGTTTTACAGTCTTAAGCCTGGTTCTTTAATGGTTTCTTAAAAGGGCAGATGGTTTTATAAGTACCTTCAAGTCATAAGTAGTTGATCATAATTATAGGCCCTCCCCTCAGATAGTTAAGCCTCTAAGCCAACAGGAGCATAATAAACATATTAGTTTTTTCAAAAGTTTAAGATTTAATTTTGATGGATTTGCCAGAAAAGCTGACTTGTTATTGCTGACACTGTTACTGCCTGTAGGCACCAGGATAATACTTGAAATTCT